TCCCCAACGTCGTCTTCGTTCTACTACTCCTCTTTTACCTTCCCTTCTTGCTGATGGACCCTCCCTTTTAAACCGGGCCTCTCAATTTACTTCTTGACAAAGACTGATTTTTCCCCCCCCAAAAAACTCTGATGGAAAAATTTTCGCAAACCTCGCCCTCAGCCCTTTTTTAGTTTTTTTTAAAATTCTCTTGCGCCCCCTTTTCCCTTTCACCATCCACTCCCCCGTTATCCGTAACCTATTTCCCCAACCATCCCCTTTTGCCACCTGATGGGCCCCCGCTTCCTTCCCCCCTGGGAGCGCTGTTAAGTCCCCGTGGGTTAGCGCTTCTTTTTGGGTTTTAAAAAATAAAAAAACTAGTGATTAAAGATGATATTTAAAATGGAGAAAAAAGCATAGAAGCTGCCCTAACTGCTGTCAGTAACACTATAAAGCAAAAGTCCGACAGTTACAGTATCTCAAAATTGGTAATCAACGGGATATTACCCATTCTGGAAACTGCTGTAACATGATATCAACAGGTCCCTCTGTAGCCATCCGTCTCACCACCTTAAGTTCCACTACTACTACTACTACTGCTACCCACTCGACACTTCACCTGACTCCTGCCACTATGTATATACACATTTTCTTATTTTTTTTCTGTATTAGGACTGAAGAAGCCACTTGTGGCAAAACGTTTCTTTAATAAATATCCTGAACTGTACATAAGTGTCTTTCTCCACTCCTTTCTTATGTTGATGAGGGAAACAGTCAGCCTCAATAACCATACTAGGCAAAAACCTTACGTAGTTTCAAATTTGTGTTGGATGAATACACGAGTGAGAGGGGTTGGATGTGAGTGGGACTTGCACATGAGTAAACAATTTTTTTAACAAGCTGGTCGTCTCCCACCGAGGCAGGGTGACCCAAAAAGAAAGAAAATTCCCAAAAGAAAATACTTTCATTGTCATTCAACACTTTCACCTCACTCATACATAATCACTGTTTTTGCAGAGGTGCCCAGAACACAAGAGTTTAGAAAAATATACATACAAAGATACACAACATATCCCTCCAAACTGCCAATATCTCAAACCCCTCCTTTAAAGTGCCGGCATTGTACTTCCCATTTCCAGTACTCAAGTCCAGCTATATAAAAACCGGTTTCCCTCAATCCCTTCACTAAATATTACCCTGCTCACACTCCAACAGCTCATCATGTCCCAAATACCATTCGTCTCCATTCACTCCTATCTAACATGCTCACGCATGCTTGCTGGAAATTCAAGCCCCTCGCCCACAAAACCTCGTTTACCCCCTTCCTCCAACCGAGGACAACCCCTACCCCACCTCTCTAAATGACCAAACCACCTCAACAACCCCTCTTCAGCCCTCTGGCTAATACTTTTATTAACTCCACACCTTCGCCTAATTTCCACACTACAAATTCTCTGCATAATATTTACACCACACATTGCCCTTAGACAGGACATCTGCATCACCTCCTCGCTGCAGCATTTACAACCCAAGCTTCACACCCATATAAGAGTGTTGGAACCACTATACTTTGCCTCCAAAGATAATGTTTTTTGTTTCCACATATACCTCAATGCACCACTCAACGTTTTTCCTTCATCAATTCTATGGTTAACCTCATCCTTCATACATCCATTTGCTGACACATCAACTCCCAAATATCTGAAAACATTCACTTCTTCCATACTCCTCCTCTCCAATTTGATATCCAATTTTTCTTTATCTAAATCATTTGACACCTTCATTGCCTTACTCTTTTCTATGTTCACTTTCAACTTTCTATCTTTACACACACTCCCAAACTCATCCACTAACCTTTGCAACTTTCCTTTAGAATCTCCCATGAGCACAGTATCATCAGCAAAAAGTAACTGTCAATTCCCATTTTGTATTTGATTCCCCATAATTTAATCCCACCCCTCTCCCCAACACCCTATCATTTACTTCTTTTACAACCCCATCTATAAATATATCAAACAACCATGGTGACATTATATACCCCTGTCTAAGATTCACCTTTACCAGGAAGCAGTCTCCCTCTCATCTACACATCATAACCTGAGCCTCACTATCCTCATCAAAACTCTTTACAGCATTTAGTAACTTACTACCTATTCCATATACTTGCAACATCTGCCACATTGCTTCCCTATCCACTCTGTCATATGCCTTTTCTAAATCCATAAATGCAATGAAAACTTCGCTACCTTTATCTAAATACTGTTCACATATAAGCTTCAATTTAAACACTTGATCTACACATCCCCTACGCACTCTAAAACCTCCTTGCTCATCCGCAATCCTACATTCTGTCTTGCCTCTAATTCTTTCAATAATAACCCTACCATACACTTCTAGTATACTCAGTAAACTTATTCCTCTATAATTTTTACAATCTCTCTTGTCCCCCTTCCCTTTATATAAAGGAATTATACATGCTCTCTGCCAATCCCTAGGTACCTTCCCCACTTTCATACATTTATTAAACAAAAATACTAACCACTCTAACACTATATCCCCCCTGCTTTTAACATTTCTGTCATGATCCCGTCAGTTCCAGCTGCTTTACCCCCTTTCATTCTATGTAATGCATCATGCACCTCCCCCACACTCACATCCTGCTCTTCTTCACTCCTAAAAGATGGTATACCTCCCTGTGACAGTGCCTCTCCCACTCTATCATCTGCTCTCCTTTTACACTCTCTCACTACTCTCCACCTTTCTTTTACTTTCCATATACTCTGCCCTTCTTATAACACTTCTGCTTTGTAAAATCTTCTCATAAGCTACCTTTTTCTCTTTTATCACACCCTTTACTTCATCATTCCACCAATCCTCTTTCCTCCTGCACCCACCCTCCTATAGCCATAAACTAATGCCCCCACATTCTAATACTGCATTTTTAAAACTATTCCAACCCTCTTCAACCCCCCTCCCCCCATTCCTCATATTTGCTCTAGCCCACCTTTCTGCCAATAGTTGCTTATATCTCACCCGAACTTCTTCCTCCCTTAGTTTATACACTTTCACCTCTCTCTTGTTGCCATTTTCCTTTTGTCCCATCTACCTCTTAGTCTAACTGTAGCTACAATTAAATAATGATCCGATATATCAGTTGCCCCTCTATAAACATGTACATCCTGAAGCCTACCCATCAACCTTTTATCCACCAATATATAAGCTAACAAACTACTTTCATTACGTGCTATATCATACCTTGTATAAATAGATTTATCAAAGCTTATTTCTTGGGTAGCATTAAAAACTGAGTTGGGTAAATATTCTGTTAGTGGGATGGATTGTGAAGGACCTGCCTAATAATAATAATTGTTATTATTATTATTAATTTAGGGAACTAGAGCATAGATCCAATTCCTTAGATCAAGAGCCCCTCACCAAGGAACCTCTCCTTTGAGGGGAAAGTTTGCATCCTGAAATTTCATCCATATCCAGAAGCAAAAAAATTGACCCAACGACTTTCATATCCTGAAAAATTTGTATGGTGGGGCATTTGTAAGCTGAGGTTCCACTGTATACATGTTTTTTTTAGCACAATGGTCAACTCCCACCGAGGTAGGGCGACCCAAAAAAGAAACACTTTCACCTTCATTCAGTCTAACATTGTATTGCCAAAGGCTGGCTGTCTTCAACAGGCACTGGACAAGCACCTAAAGTCAGTACCTGACCAGCTGGGCTGTGGCTCGTACATTGGATTGCGTGCAGCTGGCAGTAACAGCCTGGTTCATCAGGCCCTGATCCACCATGAGGCCTAGTCACAGATTGGGCTGTGGGGGTGTCGACCCCCAGAACTCTCTCCAGGTAAACTCCAGGCACACAGATACTACAGTCCAGATTCCCCTCTAAACTAGAAATATCCCCACCCTTCCTTCACAGTGCAGGCACTGTACTTCCCACCTCCAGGACTCAAGTCCGGCTAACCAGTTCCCCTGAATCCCTTCACAAAGTAGAATATTAGAAAAGTTTGGCAAATTTGGATATGCTTGGAAAGTAACCGTATTTTTTCCATATAATATTCTTCACGTCACGTAATGCTAATTTTAAATTAGATATCAATTTTCAATAATGTAAACCTCATGTTAATCAAGGATTTAATGTATAAATGTGGTGTTAATAGAAGATGTAAGAAGGAAGGTATCTGATGACCACCTGGACGGAGTGAAACAGGTATTAAGAAGGGGTAGAATACCCATAGAAATATGTGAGCATATAAGAATATAAGAAAGGAGGAAGATTGCAGCAGGCCTACTGGTCCATGCTAGGCAAGTCCTTCTCAAACCCAAACCCACTAACAAATATATTTGTCTAACCCATTTTCAATGCTACCTAAGGTAAGTGTGTGTGGAGAAAAATGATTTGTGGAACTTAACATGCTATTGGATTGTAGCCCTCAAGAAAGGTGTCTCAAAGCTAGTCAGGACTTTTGATCCAAGGAATTTGAGTTGTCCTCCTTTTCCTTGGATTAAACTTAATTGACTTGCATTCCAATGCACACTGTATTACCCGAATAGGCTTAGCACTACTCCCATGAATGTCATTATAATAATGTTGGAGTGAAACCAAAGCAGCATCTAATGAATGGATTTAGGAAAAATGGCTAGCTGAATTTGAATTTTGAAAGTTGGGAAGCCCAATGCCTACACACTGAGTAGGGATGTTTGAGTTCAGTGGTAATGTTGCTAGAGTGAGCAAAGGTGAAAAATAGCTTATTAATTGTGAGGCTGAAGTAGGAGTTAAGTGGAAAAAGTGGAAGGGAAAAAGTATGGTACAAATGCAAATGGGGTGGTATGGAAAGACGGAGTGTAATGAGAAATAAGAGTGACAAGAGATGTGACACACAAATACATGTGCAAAAATAAAAATACAATATTGTAAGTCTCTTCAATTTTGTTTACTTGGAAAATGTAAGACAAAGACCATGGTAATATAAAAAAATAAATAAATAAAACATAGAAAATACTCACAGTAATTCCTGGCGTTCCATCAAAACCACGGTCTCCTTTCATCCCCGCTGGGCCCATTGGTCCTGGTAATCCAGAATAGCCACGATCACCCTTGACTCCAGGCATGCCTGGCATACCTGGGCTACCTTCAGGTCCTTCAGGTCCTCTTGGACCCTGTGGTCCAGGCAAACCACGCTGACCCTTAAGACCAGGAATACCAGGTTGGCCATTGATTCCAGGGAATCCTCTTTCACCTTTAGGACCTTGTGGCCCTGGCCTTCCAGCTACACCCGGCAGGCCATCAAAGCCCTTTGGACCACGGATGCCCTTTTCTCCAGGAAGACCAGGTAAACCATTAGTGCCTTTCTCACCTTTGGGTCCTGGGGCACATGGTAATCCTGGAAGACCCTGGGGACCACTGTCACCTTTTGGACCAACTAGTCCCACAGGTCCTGGTTGACCTGGGAAACCTCTTTCACCTGGAAGTCCTGGGAAGCCTTTTTGACCAGGAAGACCATCTCTACCGTTTTCACCAGTTAATCCAACAGGACCTTGTGGTCCTCGATCACCCTTAGCACCATTAATACCAGGGGGACCTGCATCACCAGGCAAGCCACGTTGGCCAGGCAATCCTGTAAATCCAATCTCTCCCTTTTCACCCTTTTCTCCGTTTATGCCATTACGACCAGGCTTGCCTGGTAAACCAGGCAAACCCTTTTCACCCTTCACAGTTATACCTATTTCACCACGAGGACCCTGAGGACCAGAGTTACCCTTTTCGCCTTTAAGTCCATCCAAGCCTGGTAGTCCAGCTGGACCTGGTAATCCAGCATTACCCTTGTCACCTTTAGGTCCAGTCCGACCATCTAAACCTAGTCTGCCTTCGTTTCCTTTGAGACCAGGTATGCCAGGCTCTCCTTTACTTCCTTTTTGACCTGCAGTGCCTGGTAGGCCTGGAGGCCCTGAAGAGCCCTTGATACCAGGAGGTCCTGGTAATCCATCCTGACCAGGCTGGCCTGTATAAAACAAGGTTAATATTATTTGCTAGTCACATTGCTTTACAAAGTGAATGTTTTCAGACAAAAATACATAGCAGGTGAGCAAGTAATGAGCCTTTTCAAGGGTACTCAAAATATCGAAGAAATATAACCCAACAAAATATTAGCATGAGTACTGAGAGAAGTCTAAGTCTCCTGCAAGCATCTGCCCAGCTCTTCAACAAATTACCAGATTGAGGAATTGGCAAACACCTAGAAATTAGCAACCATAATTCTAATATTAAGAAGGGAGACAGACTGGAGGCTCTACACTAAAGATCATGGTCAATGTAAAGTACAATGTACAAAGTTATAAATAAGATTGATAGAATACCTAGGGAATAAAAAATTCCTCACCAATTATCAGCATGAGGCTAGGAATGAGATGTCATACCTCAAACCCTGCAGAGACCTATGACAGGTTAACAAGTTAGGCAAGGGAGATGAGGAAAGGATGGAGAACTACATATTCCTGTTATGCAACCAATCTTTTGAACAAAAACCTTATGCCTCTGGCAGAATGAAGCACAGTTGGGGCTACAATCATGACATACAAAAGACAACAAGTCCCCCACTAATAATGCATGCCTGAATATTATTTGTAGCTCAGTTGTTTAGAATCAAGAACTTATTTTTTCATAGATACTAATGTTATAATTTGAGATGTGTTCTGAGCCATAATTTTCCAAGTTTAATTTCAGTAATTTTGTTATCACTGCAATTTAAAACAATGTACACTTAACAAATTAGACAAACTGGGGAAAAGATTTAAGGAGAAAAAAGACAGAAGCCCATGTTAATCAAGATGCAGACCAAGACAATAACATTCTGTATCCAATTCGTGTTTTTTTTTGGGTTTTATAACTATGTACTGAAATCGAGAGAGATTGGCCTGTAATTCACTTTCTTTTATACCATATTTTTTGCACCTATTTTCCACACTAGAAAAACTTTCATTTCTCTTTTTGAGTCTCCCTGCCTCGGTGGGAAATGGTTGGTTTGTTGAAAAAAAAAAAATCCCACACTCCTCTTCCACCTAAAAATTATTATTAATCCACAGAGGGGATGTGCTAAACCTGCAGGGGTCATACAGTGCCTGGGGAAGTTGGAATTAGGTTTGATCCAAGGAAAGGGAGGACAGGTCTAATTCCTTGGATCAACTGCCCCTCACAAGCATCAAGGAACCTCCCCTGAAACACTGGTCATCTCCATCTGAGGCAGGTGACCCCAAAAAGAAACACTTTCACCATCATTCACACTATCACTGTCTTGCCAGAGGCGCACAGATACGACAATATCAATACCCCTCTGAAGGAGGGGTAGTGATGTTGCAGTTTTTTAACTGCTATAAGTACAGTAATTAACCCCTTGACTGTCGCAACCCCCAATCCTGAGGTGTCTCCTGGTGTCGCAAAATTTCAAAAAAAAAAAAAAATTATTTTTTCTTATGAAATGATAAGAGAATCTTTTCCCGATTGTAATGACACCAAAAAAAAAAGAAATTTGATGGAAAACTTGCGGAATTACACTCTCGCGAAGTTAGCGATCTCGGCAATGTTTACAAATCGGCGATTTCGCTCACTTTGAGCCCTATTTTCGGCTAATTCCATTGTTCCAGTCGACCAAACTCATAGCTATTTCTCTAGAACTCCATTTTTTTTCTATCAACTGAGTACAAAAAACTGACCTTTTACCGATTTCAACTACCCAATAACGTGGTCAGAAATTTGCAATTTGGCCAATTTCACGAAAATTAAAAAATATGACAATTTCAAAATAAGGTCCAGAATGAACAATGCAGACATTCCTGGCTCTAAAATAACATTTTCTTTGTTCATCAGTCATGTATCCAGGCCCCTCTGATATTACTCTTGCTTTCTATTTTGAATTTTTATTCAAACAAAAAATAGAAGATTTACTGTTATGCAGACTACTGCAATACATGTACTGTAATAATTGTACAAATAATGTCAACCCATTCTTGACTGCATATTAGAATGGCTAGTTGGACACTTATTGGACAATGACATCATTTGTTTACTTTTGAACATCGGCAAAAATCAAACATTTCCCCTACTTTGAGCTCCTTTTCCAGGTTCTTTTTGTAATAAAACCAATCAAAATCACCTCTATTTCTATAATACGTTTTCCATTCTATCAAATGAGACCAAGAAAACGAGAATACAACCATAAATACTATATGAAAATAGACCACAAAGTCGGCATTTTAATTAAAAAAAAGGTTGGAGTTTTTTTTTTCTCATGCACTGCGTGCTCCAGGATTTTTTTTATGTGATGCACACTGACCACACAGACCCATTCTCTCACATGTGGACTTACCAGCTTTCTCCTGCTTGATCTGAAACCGCTAGAATTTAAGAGCACGTATATATACATCAAATACGGTACCTTGCAAGACGTATATATACGACCGAAACAGTCAAAGGGTTGAAGATCAGCCTATTTATTGGCGTGAAATCTCTATCATACACGTAAATGAAATATGAGATGTATATAATCTTGTGGCTGGATATTTGTTAACTATAGTAGTCAAGTTGTTGTTACTTGTAGGGATGTTGCTAAAAAAAAAGTAACATACCTGGAGGTCCTAACAGTCCCTTCTCACCATCCCGGCCACTGAGTCCAAGCTCACCCTTAGGGCCTTGAATTCCTGGTAAACCTGGAGAACCTGGGATAGGAATACATTTTTCTCCTGGTGGTCCAGTTAGTCCTGGTAAACCCTAGAAAAACAATTATCTATCAGCATGTATTTACTGTTTCCTCTAATTCAGTTGATAATAAGAGATAAATTATCAGCTTTTTGTTTTTTGATGCATATTTAAAGTGGTCAGGATTGTATATTTACAGCTCTACATAATTTTTCTTGCAATTTACCTTACCAAACTTGGCAAGATTCTAATCCCTCTGTGACAAAACATAATCTATTCGATAATCCCTGTTCTTCCCTTTGACTAACTGCTGGAAAACTCTCTGTTCTCGTCTTCCTAGAGAATCATAGAAAAGCAGCTAGAAAATAAACTTGAATGGCCAGGCAAGACCCACACATCTATACATTTATAAGTTAAAAACTCAATGGAAGTACTTGAATTTCCATTCAAATTCACTGTTCCAAATGAAAACCAGCAAATAATTATTATTGTTATCGATACTCATGTCAACACATCTTTGTAGCCAAGGATCCTAGTAACTGTCTGTCTTATCAATAACAGGCATACATACATGTGTGTATGCACGAATGCATGCACACGTATGCACATGCGCACGCATGCGCACACACACACACACACCATAATATTAACTCCCTTGTAACACTTACCCTATCTCCCTTGGGTCCTGGGAATCCAGGTACTCCATCACTTCCTGGTGATCCAGGGAGACCATCCAACCCAGCCAAACCAGGAGGGCCAGGAGATCCTCTGTCTCCTGCAGGACCTGGTAAACCAAATGCATCACGGCCTTTTGTGCCTCGAAGACCTTGGGGTCCAGATAGTCCAGGAGGTCCTTGCAAACCAACATCACCCTTCAGACCTTGGCTACCCTTTTCTCCTTTATCAGCAGAAGCTCCTGGCACTCCTTGTGGACCCTGCATTGTATGAAAACTTTTCAGTGTCTGCTCTAAGTAAAATAAAGATAGTTATTTAAGTGTTTAATCATTAAGGTGTATTCATTACTTTCTCCATGAGAAACTAAATAGCATATGAAACAACAATGCTATTGAAGTATATGCATCTAAAGGATTCTCATTTAGTTTTAGTGTGAAAAGATGTAGATTAACCCTTTCAGTGTTGAGACCCGTGCTTTTAGGGTCAATGAATTAATTTTTTTTATTGTTTTATTTTGTGAAATGATGAATCATTTTTCCAAAGGTAATGAAAAGAATCTTTCCTCCGTAAGCCATGCGTGTCGTATGAGGCGACTAAAATGCCGGGAGCAATGGGCTAGTAACCCCTTCTCCTGTAGACATTTACTAAAAAAGAGAAGAAGAAAAACTTTATAAAATTGGGATGCTTAAATGTGCGTGGATGTAGTGCGGATGACAAGAAACAGATGATTGCTGATGTTATGAATGAAAAGAAGTTGGATGTCCTGGCCCTAAGCGAAACAAAGCTGAAGGGGTAGGGGAGTTTCGGTGGGGGGAAATAAATGGGATTAAATCTGGAGTATCTGAGAGAGTTAGAGCAAAGGAAGGGGTAGCAGTAATGTTGAATGATCAGTTATGGAAGGAGAAAAGAGAATATGAATGTGTAAATTCAAGAATTATGTGGATTAAAGTAAAGGTTGGATGCGAGAAGTGGGTCATAATAAGCGTGTATGCACCTGGAGAAGAGAGGAATGTAGAGGAGAGAGAGAGATTTTGGGAGATGTTAAGTGAATGTATAGGAGCCTTTGAACCAAGTGAGAGTAATTGTGGTAGGGGACCTGAATGCTAAAGTAGGAGAAACTTTTAGAGAGGGTGTGGTAGGTAAGTTTGGGGTGCCAGGTGTAAATGATAATGGGAGCCCTTTGATTGAACTTTGTATAGAAAGGGGTTTAGTTATAGGTAACACATATTTTAAGAAAAAGAGGATAAATAAGTATACAAGATATGATGTAGGGCAAAATGACAGTAGTTTGTTGGATTATGTATTGGTAGATAAAAGACTGTTGAGTAGACTTCAGGATGTACATGTTTATAAAGGGGCCACAGATATATCAGATCACTTTCTAGTTGTAGCTACACTGAGAGTAAAAGGTAGATGGGATACAAGGAGAACAGAAGCATCAGGGAAGAGAGAGGTGAAGGTTTATAAACTAAAAGAGGAGGCAGTTAGGGTAAGATATAAACAGCTATTGGAGGATAGATGGGCTAATGAGAGTATAGGCAATGGGGTCGAAGAGGTATGGGGTAGGTTTAAAAATGTAGTGTTAGAGTGTTCAGCAGAAGTTTGTGGTTACAGGAAAGTGGGTGCGGGAGGGAAGAGGAGCGATTGGTGGAATGATGATGTGAAGAGAGTAGTAAGGGAGAAAAAGTTAGCATATGAGAAGTTTTTACAAAGTAGAAGTGATGCAAGGAGGGAAGAGTATATGGAGAAAAAGAGAGAGGTTAAGAGAGTGGTGAAGCAATGTAAAAAGAGAGCAAATGAGAGAGTGGGTGAGATGTTATCAACAAATTTTGTTGAAAATAAGAAAAAGTTTTGGGAGTGAGATTAACAAGTTAAGAAAGCCAAGAGAACAAATGGATTTGTCAGTTAAAAATAGGAGAGGAGAGTTATTAAATGGAGAGTTAGAGGTATTGGGAAGATGGAGGGAATATTTTGAGGAATTGTTAAATGTTGATGAAGATAGGGAAGCTGTGATTTCGTGTATAGGGCAAGGAGGAACAACATCTTGTAGGAGTGAGGAAGAGCCAGTTGTGAGTGTGGGGGAAGTTCGTGAGGCAGTAGGTAAAATGAAAGGGGGTAAGGCAGCCGGGATTGATGGGATAAAGACAGAAATGTTAAAAGCAGGTGGGGATATAGTTTTGGAGTGGTTGGTGCAATTATTTAATAAATGTATGGAAGAGGGTAAGGTACCTAGGGATTGGCAGAGAGCATGCATAGTTCCTTTGTATAAAGGCAAAGGGGTATAAAAGAGAGTGCAAAAATTATAGGGGATAAGTCTGTTGAGTATACCTGGCAAAGTGTATGGTAGAGTTATTATTGAAAGAATTAAGAGTAAGACGGAGAATAGGATAGCAAATGAACAAGGAGGCTTTAGGAAAGGTAGGGGGTGTGTGGACCAGGTGTTTACAGTGAAACATATAAGTGAACAGTATTTAGATAAGGCTAAAGAGATCTTTGTGGCATTTATGGATTTGGAAAAGGCGTATGACAGGGTGGATAGGGGGGCAACGTGGCAGATGTTGCAGGTGTATGGTGTAGGAGGTAGGTTACTGAAAGCAGTAAAGAGTTTTTACGAGGATAGTGAGGCTCAAGTTAGAGTATGTAGGAAAGAGGGAAATTATTTCCCAGTAAAAGTAGGCCTTGGACAAGGATGTGTGATGTCACCATGGTTGTTTAATATATTTATAGATGGGGTTGTAAGAGAAGTAAATGCGAGGGTCTTGGCAAGAGGTGTGGAGTTAAAAAATAAAGAATCACACATAAAGTGGGAGTTGTCACAGTTGCTCTTTGCTGATGACACTGTGCTCTTGGGAGATTCTGAAGAGAAGTTGCAGAGATTGGTGGATGAATTTGGTAGGGTGTGCAAAAGAAGAAAATTTAAAGTGAATACAGGAAAGAGTAAGGTTATGAGGATAACAAAAAGATTAGGTGATGAAAGATTGGATATCAGATTGGAGGGAGAGAGTATGGAGGAGGTGAATGTATTCAGATATTTGGGAGTGGACGTGTCAGCGGATGGGTCTATGAAAGATGAGGTGAATCATAGAATTGATGAGGGGAAAAGGGTGAGTGGTGCACTTAGGAGTCTGTGGAGACAAAGAACTTTGTCCTTGGAGGCAAAGAGGGGAATGTATGAGAGTATAGTTTTACCAACGCTCTTATATGGGTGTGAAGCATGGGTGATGAATGTTGCAGCGAGGAGAAGGCTGGAGGCAGTGGAGATGTCATGTCTGAGAGCAATGTGTGGTGTGAATATAATGCAGAGAATACGTAGTTTGGAAGTTAGGAGGAGGTGCGGGATTACCAAAACTGTTGTCCAGAGGGCTGAGGAAGGGTTGTTGAGGTGGTTCGGACATGTGGAGAGAATGGAGCGAAACAGAATAACTTCAAGAGTGTATCAGTCTGTAGTGGAAGGAAGGCGGGGTAGGGGTCGGCCTAGGAAAGGTTGGAGGGAGGGGGTAAAGGAGGTTTTGTGTGCGAGGGGCTTGGACTTCCAGCAGGCATGCGTGAGCGTGTTTGATAGGAGTGAATGGAGACAAATGGTTTTTAATACTTGACGTGCTGTTGGAGTGTGAGCAAAGTAACATTTATGAAGGGATTCAGGGAAACCGGCAGGCTGGACTTGAGTCCTGGAGATGGGAAGTACAGTGCCTGCACTCTGAAGGAGGGGTGTTAATGTTGCAGTTTAAAAACTGTAGTGTAAAGCACCCTTCTGGCAAGACAGTGATGGAGTGAATGATGGTGAAAGTTTTTCTTTTTTGGGCCACCCTGCCTTGGTGGGAATCGGCCAGTGTGATAATAATAATAATAATAAAAAAAATGAAACTAGAAGAATGAAATCTGATAGAAAACTTACAGAATTATGTTGTCGCAAAGTTAGCAGTCTCAGCAACATTTACACATTGGCGATTTTGCCCACTTTGCGCTATATTTTTGGCCAATTCCATTGTTCCAGTCTACCAAACTCGCCGCTATTTTGCTAATATTCTGTCCATTCTATCAACTGAGTACAAGAAATTGCCGATTTACCTATTTTAACTACTCAATAAAGTGATCAGAAATGGTAATTTGGCCAATTTCATACAAAAATTGAACAACTGCCAATTTGTAAACAGGGTCCAGAATAAACAATGTAGACATTCCTGGCACTAAAACATGTGCTCCTCAGCCACGTCTCCAGGCCCCTCTTATATTACACTTGCTTCTCGTTTGAATTTTTATTCACACACAAAAAAACAGAAGATTTAATGTTATGCAGACTAATGCATTATTGTAATAACTGTATAAGTAATGTCAGTGCATTCCTAAATGCATATTGAACAAGTGATGTCATTTGTGTACTCTGGAATATCAGCAAAAATCGAACATTTCCGCTACTTTGACCTCAATTTCAAGCTACTTTCAGTACTGAAACTTATCAAAATCATCTCTATTTCTGTAATATACCTTTCATTCTATCAAATGAGACCAAAGAATCAGAATTACAACAATAAAAACTATACAAAAAATGCACAGCAATTTTACGCAACAGTAAATCCTCTTTTTGTGTGAATAAAAATTCTTTGTGTGAATAAAAAATCAAAATCAAGTTTACGTGTAGTCTGGAAATGTAACTAATGAACAGAGGAAATGTTGTTTTAGTGCCAGGAATGTCTGCATTGTTTATTCTGGATTGTATTTTGAAACTGGAATATTTTGAAATTTGTGTGTAATTGGACAAATTATCAATTTCTGATCACTTTATTGGGTAGTTGAAGTAGTTGACTGGGCAGTTTCTTTCACTCAGCTGCTAATATGGAAGGCATACAATTGAAATAGTTAAGAATCTGGTCGACCAGAAATTAATGGGTTTAAAATAGGACTCAAAGTGGACAAAATCGCAGATCCGTAAATATCGCTGACACGGCAACATTCACGCTATTGTAATTCTTCAATTTCCCATCTAATTTTGTACTTTTTGTTTTATTACCTCCAGGAAAAGATTCTCTACTATTTCATAAGAAAATATATATAATATATTTTTTTTAAATTCTTGGACCCTGTGCACAAGTCTCAGACTGGGGTCTGGACCCTCAAAGGGTTAATGGGTTAATCCAATTCTACCTTTCCCATCAAATGTTCATGACCATTTTTCTAATGCTTCACTCCTCAACTTCACCTGAATCCTTTCAAAAAAGTTAATTTGCTCAAACTCCAACAGGATGTCCATTAAAAACCACTT